AATTGTGGGGAAGTTGATATTTTTTAAAACGTTTCACAATAGATAATTAAGAGCATGAAATAAAAATATTTTTTCCTGCAGAGGTGGGGAGCTGGTGGGACTTGCCACAAGGGGCCCCTGGTCCCAGTGAGGCAGCCTAGGTGCACTCCATGGCATTCGGAGATGGTGTTCCTACTGCTGACCAGCAGGCAACTGGGCTGGGCAGGGAGGTCACGATGGCTGCCCTGAAGGGACTGCATCCATACAATATGCTGCTGATAAAGGCAGCTTCAGCCACCAGGGAATTTAGTCCTCTCCATCACCAATAAGCAAATGGTGGGCCATATCTGGGAAGAGGACAACAGGGCAGGGAAAAAAAAATTTTTTTCCCTACTATTTCATTTCTCCAAATTTCAGTAAACTGAAAAAGTGTTAAATTTAGGGAAAGGTTTCAGAGACTAATGAACCAAACTGTTCAAATTATAATCCAAAATATTCCAATATAGTCCATTCTTATGTGATCAATGTATAGAAGGTTGAAGAAGGCTAGTTTGTTTAGAAAATAGGTCCTACATTCCAAACAACTTAAGAAATTTAAAAAAAGAAAAAAAAGGCTGTCATTCATACCATTCACACTTAAAGACTGAATTTTATCTGTTTTGAAAATGAACTTCTCTCGCTACACAGAAGTAACAAATATGGTAGTCAGTTTTGTATTTAGAAATGTATTGGTAGCAGGGATGTTTTCATAATTTTCAGAGATTATGCATTCTTCATGAATACTTTTGTATTGCTGCTTGCAAATATGCATTTCCAAACTTGAAATATAGGTGTGAACAGTGTGTACCAGTTTAAAGCTTTCACTTCATTTGTGTTTTTTAATTAAGGATTTAGATGTTCCCCCAATTATAAACTGGTTTTAAATATTGGAAAAAAAAAAAAAAGAAAATAGGTCCTACAGTGGAGATGCTAAATTATAAATTGAAAAGAGTACTTTCATAATAATCACTATTTGTGGACATCAAATAAACCTTTTTGCCCTTCCCTGAGAGAGTATTAGGATCTTATCAAGTCTTGGTAAACTTTGAAAATCACATGGTTGTTCAATGCCTCCATGTGGTAGAAAAAATAATTTAGTTCTGTCCTAGCTTCCTGTGATAGCAGCACTCAGACCAATAAAGTCTGACAGTGCTTAGGGTCCTTCAACCGATCGGTGTTTTTTGTTTGTTTGTTTTAAAAAAGAAAGGCCTATGGGAAAATGACCTGAATTGAAGATAAATGACCCAGATCTCATTAGGCTATACAGAATTAACCCTTCTTTCTGAACCTTCCTTATTTTTCTGTATGAGGAATGGATTTTTTAGCCAAAGGAGCATTATAAAAGGAAACAAGTGGACTGAAATCCAAACACAAGATTTTTTTCTCCTGGCAGAAAAAGGAAATCTTTTCTGTTCAGCCATAAGGTAAGTTTTAAAAACCATATTAACAAATAGTTAATTTGCTTGATAATTCTTTGCACATGAAATTGGCCAAAGAGAATGGTCATCTTTATGAAAGACTTTAATTTCAGTGTAAGCAACAAGTCAAAAATAGGAGCGCTCAAAAATTAGACTGGGTCTCTTTCTTTTGAATCACCTGTATCATTTCACCTCCTGGGGATCAGCTAGCACCTTGATCTTCAAGTGCTTCTACTTAAAAGTACTTGATACTCTAAAGATGACTTGAAGATGAGAGTTGGATCATTCTGAGAGCCAAGAATAGGTACTAGTGAAAACGGAGCCCACTTTCTCAAAGCCCATGAGATGTCACGGTGCTGTACCACTTGGGCTTCTGTGACAGGGCGAATTTTTTAAATGTAAATTGAGCATTCCTATCAAAGTATTCAATGTATATGTGTTCATTTGGTTGCACATGTATAGACTACAACAGAAAACTGTTTCCTCCAAGGGAAATTAGGGGTGAGGCGAGGGGCAGGCAGAAGGCTATTTTCTTAGCATATCTTCTGATTTCTTTAGAATAATATAGCACAAACATGTATTACCTATTTAAAATATAGCCATAAATCTGAAATAACTAAAGATTATTCTCAGGATGGGAGGGAGTGAACTTCAATAGCAATAACTAGTTTGTTCAAGTAAATGTTACAAATTCAGTGATTCCCTTAGCGTGTGTCCATCTTCCCACTTTCCCAACGATGTCTTGATTGTTAATATATTCTTGAAAATATTATCACAATTCTTTTATATTTAATGTGTTTTTATCCAATGCAATTGAGGCTCTTCCTCCACCCCAGTATTGCCAGAAATGACAAGATCATCTGTGGACGGCACGGGTCATAATCACAATATTGCCACCGATTTACTGTTTGACCTTGGATAAGTTATTTCTTTGCCTTAATTTCTTCATCTGCAATATGAAGAGTGTGGACTAGAAGATACCTTAGGCCCCTTCTAGTGATAAAATCCTATGATTCCCTGACTCTATCTTTGTCCAAGAAGGTTTCTTATACTTGTCATCAATTCTAAGTCATAAAGACCCCATGTTCTAACAAAATTCCTGAGAAATAGGACCACGGTGGAATTGTTAATAATTTATTTTGCATAACAGTTAATAAATCACTTTAATTATAGATATACATTTGATTATGCCAGTCAGTACAGCACAGGTATTTTTGCCCTTTATAGATGAGGAAAATGAGGCTTCAGGAGGTCAATTGAGCTCCTCAGGCCCTGCAGTTAATAAGTAGGAGAGCTAGAAGGCTGTAAATGAATTTAATTTTTCTAAGAACTGTATACAGGTAGTTAAAATGATCTGACAGAAAGATTAGTCTTTTGAGAGTGGTGGAATCTTTTCTAAACATTTTGAGGTTTTTATCCCCTCTCAGCAGGTCATTCCAAAACCATAAATCAACTAACCTAAGCTAGTGTGTATTAGAGATTAAAGGGAATAGTACACAAAAGAGGGCTGGGATCCTTCCAGACAGGTGGTGGGGAAAGCACTTCTCTATATAGAAGGAGCCCTCAGATTTCATGATTTCTTTCCCCGAGGACTAGTCCAATCCAACATTAACAATACAACACAAAATACCATGTTCAGATTCTTAAAAAAATTATTATTATTATAGTTAGTATCCAAGGATACAATTTAGACAAACCAATATGAAAAGTCATTCAACATCCTGGTCACTTCAGCAAATCAAACCTTTTATTTTCCTGTGGTCTCTGCCAGCTCTTGTCTTTACATATAAATGATTTTTTACTGGTTGTACTCATGTGTAGACAGTATTTTTAAATATCAGAAATCTAAATTTTCACAAGAGGAAATCTCAATTTTAACAACTGTTCTTAGATTATTTTCCTCATCCTGAATTTATTTCATCTGTTTGCTTATTGTTTTCTCTCGAATTTTTATCTGTTTCATCAGAAGAACAAAAAGTTCTGTTTTTAAGGAATTTTCTTTCTTTTTTTTTTTTCAAATACCACACAGCAGGGAATGTTGTCAGTTTTATATGCTCCTACCAGGACTCCTGAAACCAAACACTAAGAAAGGTTATATCTGGGGATCTTTTCAAAACCCATATGCATTTGGGTCGTGGAGAAATAATTCTGTCTGGAGGCAAGAGGCTGAAATGATGACCTATAAGGTTTCTTCCAGCTTTTGAACTTCTTGATTCTATGACAGCTCCTGGTAGATACGGGTTTCCTGGTAGGGACTGAGCAAGAAGCATGCACAATTACTTTATGAGGCTGGATAAGTTGGAGTTTCAGGTTGATGGACGGCCAGAAGGGGTTTAGCTGGGTAGTGAGAATGCTTGTTTTCCTGGTTACTGGATATGCCATGAGCGTATATCTCATTGGGTTGTCCTGTGGTAACTGAAGCCACAGTCGCCATGGCAAATGATGGCAATTTGAATGAGATAATTTAGAGTGGCCCAAGGAAATCTGACTAGACTGTCTCCTTAACGTACAAGACCTTATACGTGTGGTGCCGTATTTGGATGACACTCATCTCCTTAGTTCCCTTCAACCGAAATGACAAATGGGTAAAAGACCAAATTGTTATTTGATGGCTTAATATTTTAAAAAATCAATTTTGGTAATAATCTAACTAAGGAACAATTCAGAATAATTACTGGTTAGTCTAAAAATATTATTTGAATAGCATATTTCTATGTAACTAAAGAAGGTACTGTGGTCCCCAGAACTTTTATCCAATTTCCAAAAATCAAACTTTATATCTAATGTAAACTGACACCAACAATTCTAAATCCAGTCTAAGTCAGTAGTCTACGGCTTATTCCCAGTGATTCCTCACATTTGCAAGCCCGTTACACGTTGGTTTTACCTGTCACGAAATCCTTTGCATCACTTTTATAAAACCACATTATTTTCCATAAAAACTGACTGGAAGAATCTAATATTGTAAATTCGCACGTGCCTCGTGCCCTGAGCAGAAAACTCCTGGTTTGGGATTTTTCTCACCGTCGTGCTCTGACCTCTGGTCCGAGCAGGTAAATTGCCTGAAGGAGAAGCAAGTGTTACCCCAAATGAAACTCGTCGTGGGATTTCTTTTTCTTCTTTAAACTGATCACTTTTTAGGAGGAGTTCCCGCTGCATTCTATGGTCCAAAGTCCTTGCCACCAGGATTACCATCTTTTCCATCAATTTGCCACCTCCCTGCCCCCTTCTTTCCAAAAGCCCTCATTGGAAAGAACTTTCTTTTGTGACCCCCTATTCTATCTAGTACCAATCGCTCCCAGCGCCCCCCACCTCCACCGGCTTCCCTCTCCTGCCCAGAATCCAGGTCCCCAAACCACTTAAGAGAAAATTCACACCCCTAGCCCCTTTCCTGGGCGTCCGGAGGAGGGGTTGGGTGCCGGTGTGGGTAAGGAGGAGGGGCAGGGTTTTGGGGGGTCCCCAGTGTCTTCCTCGCGCCACTCCTCAGAGGTTTTGCAGGGGGAGGGGAGCGCGGGTGGGTGGGACCGGGCCGGGTGGGGGAGGGGTGAGGGCGAGAAGGAGGAGGAGGAGGAGGAGGAGGAGGAGGAGTGGTGTGTGTGCGAGCGTGTGTGGCTGGGGGAAGCCATTGCCTGTTTAATAGTTGCTGTTGCTGCACTTCCGCTTCTCTCCCAACGAGAGAGAGACACGAGTGGCCAGGCCCAGCCGCAGCCGCAGCAGCAGCCGCGGCGGCGGCACGGAGGAGCCAGACACAAAGAGAGGTACGGGGATCCCCCCGCCGCCCGCTGCCCCCCGGCCGCGCCGCCGGGCCTCGGGGACACCCCTCGCCGCCTCCCGCGACCCGCTGTGCCCGGGCCGCGGGGCACAGCGCTGGGTGGGGCGGAGAGGGGCTGGGGAGCCCCAGGGGTCCGGGGCCCGCCTGCGGGGGATGGGCAGGGACCCCGGGCCGCGTGGGGTGCGGGGGCCTCCCTCGTCGGGGGCGGGGGGGGTCATCGTGGCTTGAACTGTCAGTGCTGCCCCGGGAGCCCCCCACTGGCCGCCGAGGGGGCCGGGAACGGGGGAGGGGGAGTTGGGGGAGCCCCGTTTTCCCGGGGGCCGGGGGCCCGCGGGGATTAACCCCTCCCGGGCGGAAGGGCTTATTGTTATTCCTTCGCCGCGGAGGCCGAGCCCCCCCGCACCCCACCCCCTCCACGGGTGGCGATCCGGCGTGTGCTCCGGACCCCCGCCCGGCCGCGAAGCCCAGAGCTGGGTGGCCCGGGGGCAGGCCAGCGGGGAGGGGCGTGGGGCGCGGCGCGAGGGGACCTCGGGCCTCGTTGCCCCTGGCCCCCGCCGGCCTCTCCCTTCCCCCACCGGGCACCGGCTCCCCGCCTCCGTCCCCGGGTTTCGGCTTCCTCTCTTACTCCTTCCCGCCCCTCCTCTCTTCCCGACCTCGCCAAACTCCGCTCGTGGCCCCCACAGTCTTGCCTTGGTCACCGGCCCCCCCATGACCCCCAGAAAGCGGACAAAAACAGCCCCGAGGCCGGCCGGCCGCCGGGACCTTCCTTCCTTGCCCCGCCGAAGCACCCCGCGCCCCCACCCTGCCCTCCTTGGCCTCCTCGGCTTCTCCCTCCCTGGCGGGTGGGGAGCCCCGGGGGGCGAGGGAGGGGCCGCTCGCCTAGCTTCAGACCGTTTTCCCACAGCGTCCCCCACTTGGGGCCAAAAATAAACAAGCCGCGTCCAATTTGCAAAAGCCTTAATGGGCCTGGAGACTTCGAAAAGCGGGTGGAGGGCAGTGGGCGGCCGTGTGCACCCCTGATCAGTGCCCTCTTGACAGCACCCAAGTTCCTTATTGACACTGCCTGCATGGTTTGTGTGTTTCTGTTTTGTTTCTCTCCCCCTGCAGGGGCTGTTTGCGGGGTGGGGTGGGGGGTTCGCTATGTCGGATGACGATTCGAGGGCCAGCACCAGCTCCTCCTCATCTTCGTCCTCCAACCAGCAAACCGAGAAAGAAACAAACACCCCCAAGAAGAAGGAGAGTAAAGTCAGCATGAGCAAAAACTCCAAACTCCTCTCTACCAGCGCCAAGAGGTATAGCATTCTTCCCTTCTTACCACCCCCCGCAGGCTTACTATCTTCCCCTTGATGCGTTTGGTATGCCTCCCAATGTGGGTAGCTTAAATGCCCCTCTGCTCATGGTTTATGTGTTCTTAAAAATGAAAGGAGGACCCTGGAAGCCTTAATTAATTTTTCTATTGCTGCTGCTTTTTTAAAATCATTGTCCACGTGCAGCTGCTGTGGCTTGCCTCTCCCATTTCTTGCTGAAGTTTGTAAAAATCCTCATTACTTTTATTAGTCCCCCAAATCTGATTTCAGATTACTTGTCCTATTAATCACCAATCTGTGACCCTCCCCAAGGCTGTCATCCCACTTCTTAATTACTAATACCTGCCCAGACAACTGTATCAAAATGAATTTCTATGACCATCTTACTTTCTCCTCACCTGTTGCATGGATGATCTTTTTTGAATAGAGTGTTTGCCGCAAATTGCATAAGGAATAAGTAACTCATATTAGTAGGTAAAAAATTAGGTAGGTGGAAACATGTTCTCTGGAATTTAAAGAGATTTTTCTAACTTGGAGAGTTAAGGCAAACGAATGAGTCAATAAATGATTGTAAAATGGTTATTCTACGTTATTTTTGTTATTCTCTTTTTTTCTCTTTAAGAACTTCAATTTAACAAATTTCAGGGAGACTCATATTTTTTCCATGCTATTTGCTCTCATGCTGTAAAAATGTTCCTTCACCTTTTTTTTTTCAAGTGAATTCAAGCAGTGGCTATTTTTCTTTTTTCTTTTCCTCATATGTCTCTGGAGGTAGCTGCTTTTCCTCTGTCATCCTTCAGTAATATTCTCTGATCCCCCCTGACCCTTAAAATAATCTATAGCAGATTCCTGGAAACCCACAGACAACCTTTCATAAATCCTTCTGCTCTCAAAGTTAGACAGTTGTTAAACTTTAAAGTGGCAAACCAGGAAGACAGTAAGGAATCCAAATGGTGGGTTAGATAGGGATACCCTTCTTAAAAGAATTTAAAATAAAATGGAACATGAGACTTTAGATCTCCGCTGAGTGGTAAGCCTGGAACTTGGAGTTTGAGAATTTGTTCTGTCATTCTGCCTGACTTGAAATTTGGAAATTTGATGACGTGTTCGCCATGGGCTGATGAAGGAGTGACTTTAGCTTATTTTAAGTAGGATGGAGGTCTTGAGTTAAGTGACAAGATGCCTCTGCTAGATTATTGTGGTTTTCAGAGAGTTGATTTGATGGTACAACTTCCTGGAGTCCTAACTGGCCTTCATTGATTAGCCCTGTGTGGCTCTCCCAGACCCTACCCTAACCTGCCCACTTTGGATGGGCCCTCCTTAACACCCCCACCTCCATCCTCAGCTTTTGGCCTGACCTGCTCAAGGTAGGATAGTTGCTTTCGGTCATTGGTATTTTTATATTTTGCTGGATATCCCTGTTGTACATGAATATATTTGGGGGTAAAAGCATAAGTAGCAGCATATATAAATAAAATAGTCTGCTTTGTGTCAGTGAATTACGGAGGAGGTAGTTTTCACTAGACACAATTTATCCATTTACCCTAAGGAAGTTAAAAACTTACTTGGAGGCCAGGCGCGGTGGCTCACGCCCGTAATCCTAGCACTCTGGGAGGCCGAGGCGGG